TGTCAAAAATTGCAGAAACAGGCCGTCTAAACAAGCAAACATGCGTCCATTAACCGATGAGTCCCTGAAGCAACTTTCGAGTGATAATGCCCTTCTTTACGATGACACTAGTAATGAAGCACAGCACGGCAACACGTGTCCTGGGAGCCGAAACTCGGCCTGCCCGCCCATCGATCTCGGCACCCAAAACTGTGGCGTGTTCAACTTGTCTTTGCCGCTTCCCGGGGTGGGCAGTCAGCTCAACTTGCCTATAAGCTTGTTCAGGCGCTGCAAAGACTTCGTGAGCACGCGTGTGCAAAAGGTCCTCTGGGTGGTGGTCAAGTTTTACGCGCTGAAGGCCAATGTGGTCATCAATGGTCAACAACTCATAAAAAGGACCTCTAGGACATGGTAGCCTATACTGCAAAGTTTCATCAGCCCGCAAACTCCCAGCGAGTGATCTCAGGAGGTTGAAGTGGCTCTGTTGTGCAATCTCCACAGCAAGGGCGTCGCCCATTGCTAATGCCCCCAAACAAACGTAACAGTCCTTGAAAAGACCGGGGTCAAAACACCTCAAATGTTGGAGCTTGCTGCCATGAAACCGAAGTCCAATAGCGTTGCGTCGAGCTCGTTGATTGCTCACTCTGAAGGTATAATAAAACTCACAAAGGTCGTCTGAAGAAATGAGCAACTTTTCATCGGGTGGTAACTGGATGGATGTAATCAAATAACCGGGTGCAAGAGTTCTAGTGTACGATGAATACCCAAAACACCTGGAATTGATCACAGTGGGGTTCAGGATCAAGCGGTCCCACTCAGCGTCCTTGGGGACGCAAAACATGCCAACCGTCTCAATAGCTGAAACCTGTGAGCAAGGTACCACTCTGCACGCGTTCAGCTTGTCCCACTTTTCAGCAAGCTCGAGGACGTCTGTCTTGCTCGCGTGCACAATGGCTTTGGGTAAGGAAGGCCACTGGTGCTTCGGTCGGCGAAGCAAGTCAGGGTTCCTAAAGGTTTCCTTTACTACAGGGTCACAAAGAAACGGACTGGGGTCAAAAGTGGGGGCCAGTTTCCATTTCACACGAAGGGCACGAACCTGCAACGTGGAGGTGGTTTGAACAGGCACCCTGACTTGCGGCTCTAACACTACTTCAGCTTCGGAGAGCCCGGACATGAAGTCCTCTGAACTAGTCTTCTGCTGCCGGCCGACGTTAGCATAACTATCGAACGAACGCTGCAAAACACTTAAAAAACTTTGCAAATCCTGAAAATCAATCTTCAGGGCTGGATGCTGTAAATTTTCAGCATGACCAGCTAATTTAGAAAGTTTCTCACCTGCTCGGCCCAGGCTCTCCATGCTGACCTCGCCAGCCTTTAAGAAGTGATCTACCAGGCTATCGAGGTAGTCAAGCATGTCCAACTGCCGTTGGCTCATATGGAACCCTTTGCGTGCACACTCAGGCGGGAACATCGTCTGCCCCAGCGTAAGCCAGTTGAGAGCTGCCACCAGGTGCTGCAAGGCCAAAGCCTTTGTGCGGAGGAAGCGGTGTTTCTTCCTTCGCTTGGGAGAAAGCTTTCCGAGCGGTGTCCAACACCCCCAGCACGGGGGGGACAGGGCCACAAGTCAGACCGAGGTTGAGGTCTGGCATCAGCGCGGAAAGGGACCTGACTGCGGTGGATGAATGCAGCCAGCGGTCCGTGCTGCGAAGCGACGTGCAAAGCAGCCCTGAAAAACTCTGTGCATTGAATTCCCTCAGGAAGCACGGCATCCTGTGTGGTGACGCCGAAGTCGGGCATCAGATGGTCAGCCTGACTTCCAACCTGAGGATGTTCTTGACTCATAGATGGGTCTGCCAACCTTGAGAGCCTTGCCTTGGCACTTGGCTTATCCTGGCTTCCTCCCCGACCGGAAGAAGCAGTCGGGATCCACTCCCGCTGCTCTGAGCAAGAAGAACCCGGCAAAAGAGTAGGCCGAGGATGCCTGGTGCGCGAGGGGGCAGCCCATTCATTCTTCAGCTTGCCGTGGTCGAACCCGCATCCTCCTTCCCTTTCTTCTTTTTCCAGGGCTTCCGAGGATTGGGATCTTCCGCATCCTCCTTCTTGGCCGGAGGCTGATTGGCAGCTTGCCCTGTGGTCTTGATGCGGGCTTCGATGAAATCTAAATCCTTGAGATAGGCCACATTGGCCGAGATCCAACTTGGTTGAGCCAGTCTGGTGAATGGCACCATCCCGACCCTGACCTTGTTCTTCTGAGTCAGGGCGTAGTTGGGCTCGGGGAGAGACGTCAGCAGCCAGGACAAGTGAATTCGCCCTGCATCGTTGGCCGTCTGATCTATGAACAGCAGGCTGCGACAACAGAACCCTTGGAGCTGGCGGTTCCCAGACCGGAACCCTATCTCCCAACCTGCTGCCAGGATGTAGGCCATCTGAGTCAAAAGGCGGTGCTCGCCAAGGGGGGGGTTCTTTTTTCGATGTAATCGCGCATGAGGCTTGGATGGGGTTGAGTCACGTCCAACCCCAACTCCTCCGATGCATTCTTCTGAACCACCTCCCCCAATCGCTCGAGGTCCCCAACGACCTTGACATAGGCCTCTCGAGCAAAACAACCTTTTATTCCTCCTCCGGAACTCCCAGCTTCGGTCGAGCTCGAACCTCCAAGTGCCTGATGAATGGGATCGTAGCTCTTCTGTTGGGTCTGCCGGGTCAGCAGCTGCAACTGCTTCATTTGCAGCACCAGGGGACCATCATGCGCTGCATGGGATCCAGCTGAGCCGCCTCCAACTCCTTCAGGCCTTCCTCGAGCTCCAGTCCTGTTGTGGCTTCCAAGCCCTCTTCCTGCTGCAATGCTTCCAGGACTTGTTCCGGTCGGGACGCGCAAGACACGTTCGTGAGCCCCCAGCCTGCTTGGGACCCCCCCGGCCAGCTGTTGCAGACGAAGCAGAGCTTGTTCTGAGGCCTTGGGAGGTGTCGCTCCGCTGCGCAGAACTCCACGGCGGCTGCCAGGGTCTAGGTTGTCCACTTTGGAGAAACCAGGAGTGTAGGAGCTTGCACGGCCTGGTGTTGGACTCTGAGCTTGCATCTCCAGCTCGGCCACTCGACGCCTCAGCAGCTCCAACTCGCTTAGAGTCTCCACTGGTTGCTCCTCCTGATGGTCGAGCTGCACTGGTAGACCCCCCACATCCGCTTGATCGTCTGCTGTGGCGTAGTCGCCTGCTGTGTCCTCGTCCATTGCTTCGTTGATCCAGGCTTCGGCAGAAGCAAGCAACGAACTCCGTCGAGGCCTGCAAGCTTGGCCGTCCCGGGTGAACTTGATCAGCTCGAAAGCCTGGGAACTGCGCAATGAGTGGGCTCGTATGAACAAGTCGACGAGCTCCCAGCACACGTCGGCCAGCAGGACGGCCGTGGTGCCCAGCAAACGTCCTCGAGAAGTCTCCATCTCTGTCTCGGCCAAATGAAGGACAGTGGCCTCTCCGCCTCCATCGAGCTCCAATTCCTGCTCCTGCAGGAAATGAACCACCTCCTCGCAATCGGGTGCAGCAATCATGAAACCACCTTGTCTGACCCTCACCAAACTGCACTGTGCTCTCAAAACTGTGCCATCTTCGCGGGGTGGCAAGCGCAGGAAGAGGTCTGGCAGAGCCCCTCCTGTTGTGCGGGCCCCCATGCAGGGCCCGAACTGCCTCCTCACTCAGTCCAGCCGCGGAAGCGGCTGCGGCCATATCCTCGTAGCGCCCAGGCAATAAGCTTCATCCTCAGCACGAGAGGCAAAGCCCTCGCAGACGGAGTCTGCGTAATGTCGATCGAATCGGCCCCGAACGACCTTCAGGAAGGTGGAATAATAATCAGAATGCCCTAGTGCACCTCGCAATACAACGTAGATGCGGTTCGGCAAGGGAGACTTGCAACTGACCACCATTGGAATCCTCTGGAACCCCAACATATACTTTGCCAGGATGCCACACCTCAAGGCGCGCTCAATCCTCGCAGCAAAAGTCCAGCCTCCCTTGCTGAACAAATGGCGAGCCCCGGACAGATCCAAGCTTTCAAATTCTGCAAGTGTAGTAGCCTCCAGGAGTGCGGCTTCCCGAGCCTCTTAACCAAAGGGGTGGCTCACCGGAGCCTCAACCAAATAAGAGCCGGTAGCGCCCAAGTCTGCCAATGCACCCACCGAAGCGTAGTGCCCCGGATGGGGCTGCAAATGCACCTAGCTCAGGAGAATCCATTTCTATAAAAGAATCGAGGCTACCTATCTCTGCAGCGACAACCGACTCTTGCCCTTCGCGAGCAATTCGGATGCTAAGAAGTTCGTTTAAATCTTACGAATTTATACATTATAGGACCTATATTATCCCAATCTACGCCTCAGAGCCAAGCCAAATTCTATAAACCCTTCCATCGTCCAATTCGAAAAAATCAACGAGGCAACCTACGTAACCGACTAACGAGCCAAAAAATTTAAGCAAATAAATATTCTCAAAGCTCATAATAACAAAATATATATAAATATATATTAAATAACTAAAAATATAAAATAAATAACCAAATCAAATCATCAATATATATCTTTGTAAATCTAACAATTACATCGAAATATAAAAACCAACATTCATTCATCCTAAATAAAATAAATATAATATAAATATATATTTCCAATATAAAATACATACAGAATCTTTCCCGAATAACAAATATATTTTCGCGAATTCAAGAAAAAACATTCGCGAAAAACTTGAAGAGGCGCTTAGTGACATGCGCCTATGTCGACCTTTCGATCGACTACCATATATCAATTCATCAATCCAATATTTTAATCGATTCGGAATAGAATTCTCCATTTGCAAATGTCATTTTGATCCTCAGCAATCAAATTCCTCTGTCATACGCATACAAGAGCCAGAAACAGCAAAAGTTTCCAAGTCAGCGCAAACAAATCAAAACAATAATGCGTTGCTCACATGTGTGACATACCTTTTTGCGCTATGTACACTATCGTAACTGCAAGCAGGAATTGAGGCTGGGGCCCTGGAAAGCGGAGCTGCATCTGCCGGAGGACTGCGATGCAGGAGCAGCAAGGCCTCAGTTCAGCAAGTCTGACTTCTCCAGTCGCTGTCTTTGGTAAGCGACTGTAGTCCCTATTCTCCAAAGTCCCAACGGAAAACATAAAGATACATGCTCCTAGTAGCTTCTTGCTCCTAGTAGTACGGCCAGGAGCCCGTAGTAGCGTCCATGCTCCTAGTAGCAATGCCAGAGCCCCTAGTAGCGTTTTAAAGATACATACAAACAAAACAAGTCCAATTTGCTGTACTACTGCTTTCTTCATGTTCTATACTGTCGTCTATTGTCTTCTAATGGTGGTCTAGTTTCAAGCACTATGAATCAATCATTGCGCTGTAGGACATAGACGGGTCTTCGGATGAGTGTTTGGAGTCAGGTCTGCAAACCCCACCCGAACTCAGTCCATTGCGTGCTTGTTGAGAAAAACATCACCTGGCCGCTCACAGAAGAATCGTCATTCTGGGTCAGTGTCTCATGAGATCTTTGCAGATTTAAGACACGATGTCCATGCACACCAATCCTCCTAAGCCTAGAATTGCAGAATTGCAATGTCTCCAACATCGTTTGCCTGCACACTTCCTTGACTTCATGGTCAACTTATCACCGTGTATTTCCAGACATGCTTTTTTGAACACGGAAGGTTGACCTAGAATTCGATTACAAAATCAAAAGCAAACCAAATTTGGAACAGACTTGAGAAACCACATCGAGTACCTTGCAGTGCAACGATGAAGATTTAAAGGTGTTTTAACACATTGTATTAAAGAAACTTCGAGGGATCGAACGCAAGCAAGCAAATAAGATTTCGGCTCGATGCTTGCCTCTCCACAGAGATGGCCGTGGGCTGTGTCAAGGATTAAACCAATGCCGGTCGTGAGTTGGAACCTCAGAACATCTTCCTTCAAAATTCAACCCAATAGCGAAGGCCTCCAACCTCATAGCGATGGCTCCAACCTAATAGCGATGGCCTGCAACCTAGTAGCAATGGTTGACACACACAGCACTCGGAATTTGTGTTGCAGGACTCAAAGAAGACCCCACATACCTTGCTGCAGAACCTTGTCTCTGAAGACAGTTCTTCTTTTGCATCTAATTTTTGAAAGAAAGACTCCTTCTAGAATTCAAACACTTCATGCATGACAAATCGCACAATACTACAGTATCCCCTCATACACCAATGCAGCTTGTAGACTAGACTCCTTTTGGATTCACCACTAGTAGTAACAAGAAACTATTAGTAACAAGTGCCACGCTAGTAGTAACAAGTGCCACGCTAGTAGTAACAAGTGCCTTACTAGTAGTA